CCCACCTCTGTGCAAGTTGGGCCAACCAACCCCTGACCTCTCTGGGCCCTCTTTTCTGTCTGCTAGATCAGATCAGTCCTATAGTAGCGGAAGCCTTTTTTCCAACTATACCATGAAGCCGAACTCCCAGATATAAAGGCAACCCCACCCCAACCTGCCCCCCAACTCCAGCTGTAACCCTTGGACTGCAGGAAGCCAGTAGAAAACTGCTTATGTAGACAATTTGGAAGAAAGGATCCTTCCGAATGGCCTTGGTCTCTCTTGCCTGTCTCCTTTTCTTCTTCCCTCCCTCCCTCCTCAGGGTGCCTGGCACTGGGCACAGGGAAGGAGCCAGGCGGGATCACTGACCCAATGTTGAACTCTCCACTGGCACCAGGAGGCCCTCCACCCATGAACTTGGAGGCTGTGTAGATTTCACTGAATAGGATGTCTGGGGATCAGGGAGAGCATCAATTGTCCAGAGCTTTGTCTGTCTGGATGTCCCACCTAAGGCATCCTAGGGGAAGTGGGCGTCCCTAGAATCATGCCCACCTGTTCTCAAAGTCCAGAAAGTTGGCAGCAGCCCTCCCTGCCCTCCACACTTGACCGGGCAGGGAGGTCAGCCTTGTGGCCACCTCCTCCTACAGGCCTGTGGTGCTGCCAAGGACAGTTATATACCCTGGCACCAGGCTCACACCAGTCATTATAGCCCCAGGAGCTGGTGTCTAGGATGAGCTACAGACCATTTAGGGCCAGCCCCCTGGATGTGGGCCCTGTGTCACCCTCTCTCAATGCCTGGGTCCTCCTCAGGGACATGACAGGGAATTTTCTTTCTTCTTTTCCAAGGTCTTTTTCTGATTTCTGAAATGTTCTTTAATAAGCACATATACTGGGGGTGCCTGGATGGCTCAGATGGTTAAGTGTCTGCCTTCAGCTCAGGTCATGATCCCAGGGTCCTGGGATCGAGCCCCACATCAGGCTCCTGGCTCAGCGGGGAGCCTGCTTCTCCCTCTGCCTGCCACTCCCCCTGCTCATGCTCTCTCTCTCTCTCTGTCTCAAATGAATAAATAAAATATTAATAAATAAATTAAATAAGCACATATACTTTTGGGGCACCTGGGTGGCCCAGTTGGTTAAGCGGCCAACTGTTGATTTCGGCTCAGGTCATGATCTCAGGGTCATGAGATCAAGCCCCGGGTCGGGCCCAAACTCAGCACTGAGTCTGCTTGAGATTCTCTCTCTCCCACTCCTTCTGCCCCTCCCCCTGCTCACTCTCTCTCTCTCTCTCAAATAAATAAAATCTTTTAAAAAAAATAAGCACATATACTTTTTATAATCAAACCCAATAACTTGATGCTGAAAAGACAGCATGTTAGGTGCCAGCCTCTATGTTCTCCACAATGGCCCTGCTGCCCTCCCAGCAGCCTAAATTTTATCATTACCACAAGCCTCCACGAGCCACACTGCAGCTATCCCGGGAAGTCCCCTCTGCTGTCTGGCCTCTGTGGGTCATGCTTCAGCCCCTTTGGCAGTAGAACAACAGCCTTCCCATGTCTTCAGAGCTGGGGAATCTTACCCTGGGTCCCTCGGCAAACTGACCTTGAGGGGCCCTTGTGCCCCACATTCTCAGCTGCTGCCTTTCCTCCAAGAAGCCAGACATCTCAGCCACCCAGCAAGGACCTTCATCAGCTGATTTCCCATATCCAGCTCAGGGTCAAACCAGCTGCTGCCTCAAAGGGTCCCCAGTGGCCCAGGTCTTTCAGAGTAGGCAGCACTTAGAACAGAGGGGGCAGAGAACAAGGGGCAGAGAAGGGTTATGTTCCACCACCTAAAGCTGGGCTGAGTCTGACTTCTGTCTCTAACTCCATATAAGACCTCAGGTGGGGGTGGGGGGGCGCTGGGGGGCTCAGATGGTTAAGCATCTGCCTTTGGCTCAGGTCATGATCCCAGGGTCCTGGGATCGAGCCCCTCATCGGTCTCCCTGCTCAGCGGAAGGCTGCTTCTCCCTCTCCCACTCCCCCTGCTTGTGTTGCCTCTCTCGCTTTGTCTCTCTCTGTCAAATAAATAAATAAATAAATAAATCCTTAAAAAAAAAAAAAACTTCAGGGCGCCTGGGTGGCTCAGTTGGTTGAGCGACTGCCTTCAGCTCAGGTCATGATCCTGGAGTCCCTGGATCGAGTCCCACATCGGGCTCCCTGCTCGGCGAGGAGCCTGCTTCTCCCTCTAACCCTCCCCCCTCTCATGTACTTTCTCGCTCTCTCAAATAAATAAATAAATCTTAAAAAAAAAAAAAAAAAAAAAACTTCAGGTGGGTCTCTCTCTTTGAGCCTCAGTTTCCTGTTTGTAAAGTGAAAATGATATCTGTCCTGCATACACTAATTAGCTGATTGACTTAGAAGGGCATTGTCCCCTACCTGGTGCCTCAAGCTACGGGGAGACACTGGGTCCTGTTTTCATACAGCCTAAATCCATGGACATGCTTAAGATGTGGCTCATTCTGGCCCCTTTATTCCTACCCCAGCATGGACCCCTAGCACCCACACCTTAGAAGTGGCCCTGGGCATCCCTGGCCAGTCACATAGCCGGCACCAGTCAGCTCAGGCCCGAGGAGAAGCCAATGATGGGATGGTTCCGGAAACCATGGCAGGTGGCAGGTGACAGGCAGCAGGTTGCTCTGGTCCCTGCCTCTTCGGGGAGTCCTGCTAAAAAGAAACAAAACCTACACCCTTCTCACCCCTGGCTGCAGTAATTTCTTCAGGGCAAGCCCCCAGAAGGTTCTAAGCTGGAGGGTGGATGAGGCATCTCTGCCCACCTCTATCTGACAGGCCTCGCTCCCCAGCCCCAAGGTTGGGGGTGACAAGCCTGGCCCAAGGGCTGGCTATGGTGGCTGGTCCTTCTCAGGGTCACCTCAGGACAACCCCCTAGCCAGAGACCAGGGCTGCAGAGAAGGGAGGGGCTCTTCAGGGGAAAACACGGCCACCCCTACCCCACCCCCACAGGCCACTTTGGAATTCCACCTGGAAGTCAGCCAGGCAGGGGTAGCAGAACAGCCCAGACCTATATTCAGACCTGGGTTGAAATCCTGGCTCTCCCACTAACTGTAATTTGGGGCAGGTCTCCTCACTGAGCCATCAGTTTCCTCACCAACAAAACAGGATCCCACCACCTTGTGCCCAATCTCAAAAGATTTGGGGAGAGGTTCTCTATTAAAAAAAAAAAAATGTATTATAGGGGCACCTGGGTGGCTCAATCGTTGGGCGTCTGTCTGCCTTCGGCTCAGGTCATGATCCGGGGTCCTGGGATCGAGCCCCACATCGGGCTCCCTGTTCGGCAGGAAGCCTGCTTCTCCCTCCCCCATTCCCCTGCTTGTGATCCTTCTCTCGCTTTGTCTCTTAAATTTTTTTTTATTATAGAATTTTCAAGCTTACACAAATTTAAAGAATTTAATGAATCCCTGTGTACCCATCACCCAGCTTCAACCATTATCAACTCATGGCCAACCCATGACCATACTCACACCCTCTCCCCTCACCTTGGGGCTATTTTAAAAACAAAGCTAAGACATCATTTCACCTATAAATACTTCAGAATGAATCTCTCAAAGATGAAGACTTAAACACACACACACACACACAAATACCATTATCACCCCTTGAAAAGTTAACCGTAATTCCTTAATATCATCAAATACCTCATTGGAGCTCAAATTTCCCCCACTTGCTCATAAGTGTTTTTTACAGTTGGTTTGGATTTGAATCAAAGAAGGTCAACACATTATGTATGTCTGAATTTCTTGAGAGCTAGAGATTCCCCATCTTTTCTTTTCTTGTAATTTTGTTGTTGTCAAAGAAGCTGGGTTATCTGCTCTGTAGTTTCCTAGTCTAGATTTGGGTAATTGTATCTCCATGTGTCATTTCACATGTTCCTCTGTCCCCTGTGTTTCTGACAAACTAGCAGCTAGATCCAAGGGATGAGACTGAGGTTTTATTTCTTGGCAAAAATAATGCCTAGCTGGGAGTTCACGTGTCAGAAGAGGTCTACCTCTTTGTGACTTAAAGATCAAATGGCAGGTTCAGGTGTTGCCAATTTGATAGTTATTATAAAGCTCTCCTGTCACCTAAGAGCAAAAGCTGTAAAATTCTTGACAAAACTCTTTAGACAAAAACAGACCAGCATGGGCAGTGGGGAGAGGCCAGACCCTACAGGGTCCATCTGGGCTTGTATTTTGGGAAGATCCCTCTGGATGTTGGAGGATGCGCTGGAGAGGGAAGCCAGACTCAGAGGACTGAGTGTTGTGGGGTCCCATTTATATGGCCTTCCGGAGGGAGCAAACTATAAGGACAGAAAGCATGAGGGAGGGGCGCCTGAGTGGCTCAGTTGGTTAAACATCTGCCTTCAGCTCAGGTCATGATCTCAGAGTCCCAGGATTGAGCCCTGCACTGGGCTCCTGGCTCAGTGGAGAGTCTGCTGCTCCCTTTGCCCTCACCCCGCTCTTGTGCTCTCTCTCACTCTCTCAAATAAACAAAATCTTAAAAAAAAGCAAGCAAGCAGGAGGGAAAGGGGTTGACAGTGGGTGTCATGGGGACTTGGGAGAGGTGCTGGGCCGTGTGTCTGGGTCGGGGTGGGAGACGCGTAACTGCATGTTTGTCAGGACTCATCCGAGCAGTTGGCCCACAGGACTCGCAGAAGGTACGTGCTGTGGGACTCAGCTCCCAGGCCTGTTACCTCCGTAGCTTTAGGCCCTGTCAGGAGATGGCATCTGGATGACAGTCCCTTATGCATGCATTCATTAAATAAGCAGCTACTGGCCAGTCTCCCTGCTGGACACTGGAGACTCTCAGATGACCAAGACCACCCTGCCCTCAAGAAACGTCTAGGCTGGAGGACTCGTGGCCCTGAGCCATCTGACACATTCACCAAGGCCTGGCGCCCCCCTCTGTTGCTCCCTTGCTCTACTCCAGCTAGTCAGGTCTTACCAGCAGAACTCACAGGTGTATCAAAAAATAATCTTTATTGTCACTCGTATAAAACAGTAGATCAACTGGCCTCTCAGTCTGTACAAAGTGTGGGGCATCAGACCACCTGGGCTGCCCCCATTTCTCCCACAATGCCCTGCCGCAGGGCAGTGCCCAGGGGCCCCACGGAGGGGAGGGCCGCCCCCAGTGCCTTTTCTTGAGGAAAGAGGTGGGGGATGGGGAATCTTTCTGCCTGAGGGGGAGGCAAAGGAGCAAAGCAGAAACTCTCTCCGGAGCAGGGGTGCGCTCCGATGCTTGGCGAGCTTCTGCACCTCCGGGGCCACACTGGGAGCGGCCGTCAGAGGGCCACGCGAGTACAACAGTGACGCAGGAAGCAGGGCAGGATGCCGCGGTTCAGCTGGTGGAACTCCACGAGCTGCAGCAGGTCGGTGAAGCGAGTCTGGCCGTCGTCCATGCTGAAGTAGAGGCGGCCCTCCTCCTCGCTCTGGGGGACAGCCAGAGGGGATGGCAGGTCGGGGAGAGGCGCCGGGGCGCAGGTCCCCGCTGCTTGCGCGGGGAGAAGAGACCCCAGACACACCGGGGGCAGGGGGAGGGCCTGGGGAGCTGCTCGAGGGGGCTTGAGGAGGAGGACAGGGATGAATGACTCACCGGGAGGATAAGATAATGTTTGACCTTCTGCAGGTGGCACAAGGAGAGGACAAAGCCCTGTGGGTTGCGCTGACTCTCTCGGACCAGGAACAGGCTGCCAGGAGACAGGGCCACGTTACCCGAGGACCCAGAGCTGCCGCCCTGACACAGGGTCTCTCCTAGCCCCGGCTCTGTTGGCCTGCTCAGCCCTGCCCCTTACCCGTCTACCAGGCCCTGCTGCCCGATGAGCCGCTGGCTCTCCTCCCTGGAAATGCGTCCGTGGAACCAGGGTTGGGTGCGGTGGATGGCTGGAGTTGGGAGAGGCAGAAGGGCAGTCATTCTGGGGAGGAGACCCGCCCCCCATACTAGCCACCCCCACCAGGAATGCTCAGAGAAGCCACGGCAGCCCCCACCCCTGGGGACGCTGGGTGCTCACCCACCTGCACTGAGGCTCGTACCCGAGCCTGGGGTGGGCAGGCTGAGACGGTGGTTCTTCTGTAGGGCAGCGGGGGACACAGAGGATCAGGTAGTGACTGGGGTATTACCCCGCACCTCGAGAATATAGAGCCCCTTTCCGCACCTGGAGCCCTCCCTTACCCCTCTCTTCCTCCCATACTACGGAAACCCACACGGAGAGGGGCGCCTGGGTGGCTCAGTCCGTTTGTGTCTGACTCTTGATTTTGGTTCAGGTCATGATCTCAGGGTGGTGAGATCGAGCCCCGCGTCGGGATCCACGCTAAGTATAAAGCCTGCTTAAGAGTCTCTCTCTCTCTCCCTCTGCCCCTCCCCCCCCTCTTACACACACACACACACACACACACAGAGAAGGTCCCCAGGACAAACATGCACATGGGTGTAGGCCCCTCACCCTCCAGGCTTGGGCTTCCTCCAGGGCTGCACTCAGAGCTTCCCGGGGGTTCTCAATGACACGCCCAGCACGGCCAGAGAAGTCCATGGCCACCAGGGTGTTATCAGAGACACTCCTCTGTAGATGGGACAGGATGGGGAGGAGTCAGAACAGGGCCCATGTCTCCCCAGGCTGGGTCCTACGTGCCCACCCCCAGCTAATGCCCCGGGTGCACACTCACCAACGGTGGAGAACCCACACAAGATGGACGCAGGTGGCGAGACTGCGCCTGCTGGTAATTCTTATACAGCTGCGCCCCATACTGCGGAGTGGAGAGAGAAAGAGAGCCTGAGGTCAAGCAGGTGCTGGGGACTGGGCTGTGAAACCCCTGGCCACTAGCACACCCCGGGAGCAAGACTGTATCTCTGCCCCGGATCAGGACCTTTCTGAGGCCAGAGCCAGGACTCAGCCGTGGACCAGGCATACTGAGAGAGCAAGGATCCAGGACCCCCTCATTCCTGAGGGAGGAGCTACTCGGCCGAGGATCCAGGGGGCGGGGCCGGCCCCCCATGTCACTCCCGGGGTCCCACCTTGAAGAGGCGGAAAGCTGCTAACCAGCAGCTGCGGCTCTGTTCATCCTCACTGCAGAAGACCCGAAGCCCCTTGTGGCCGTTTCGAAGCTTGTTCGGCTGTAGGAAGAGGAAACCGGCCGGTCCCGTGAGGAAACCGGCCGGTCCCGTATCTGCCATTAGGACCAGATGTCTGTCTCCGTGGGGCAGGGCAGGGTGCAGAGAAGTGTCTGGGCGTCCCAGATGGAGCTCAGAAGCCCTAGGTAGGATCCTGGGGCCTGAGCAGCTCCCATTCCCTCCCAGGCCTGGCCGGGGTCTTTACCTTGATACAGAAGCCAAAGTCGGTGGGCATCCCATAGAGCTTGCGACCCTGGGTCACCACATACACGTTGGACTCATTCACATCTGCGACATACTGCAGGTGCCTGGGATCCTATGCAGCATGGGTAGGCAGGACTTGTTACAGCAGACCCTATTCCCCCTGCTATTTTCACCATAAGCACGCTGGGGACATTTCAAAGGAGCAGAGAAGTGCTCCAGGTCACACAGCAAACAGAAGTAGAGCCAGGACTCAAACTCAGTTCTCACCTGCCTTTCCTACTACTACCTCCTGGGGTAGGTAAGCCAGGAGGGAAAGAGGAGCAGCGGAGGGTCTCGGGGCCCGGGGGGGGAAAGATCTAGGCGTTCCAGTAAGGGAAGAGATAACTCCTAGAAGGACTGGGAATGGGATATCCTAGGGGCTGAGGCTGTCAACCCTCAAGACCTCACCTTGGAGGTGCCCTTGGTGGAGTAATAGAGGCCAGAGCGGCGCAGGAAGCAGAAGAAGCGTTTCCAAAGCTTCCGTCCAGACCCCCGTAGCTGCAGAAAGCCCTGGATCTCTGGGAAGCTGCCTGCATTCAGGAAGTTCTGAGGCCAGAAGAGAGCAGGAAGAGGGTGAGAGGCCAAGAGGGAGACAGGGAGACACACATGCACACACAGGACTTCAGGAGAGAAGGTGTGCCACATACATTTACTGTCCCATTTCAAAGACAAAGAAACTGACGGTCAGCCAGGAAAAAACTGACTTGTCCAGTCACTCAGCACTGTGCTAGACTCTCCACCACATAGAGGGGAGGCAAAATACTTAAGGGCCAAAAAAGCAATAGGTGATCCTGGGGAATCATGACTATGCCATGGGATGGGGGTGTCCTTGTACCTGGATGAGGTCTTCGTGGGATATGCCTGTCGGTGTGTCCACACAGCTGGAGACCATCTTTTCTGGGAACAGGGAGTGCTGGGACGAAAGGAGTCAGGAGTCAGGGATTGAGGGCCCAGGTTGGGGATCAGGGTGTCCCAGGGCCCAGACCCCCCTCACACACACACACTCACTGGAGAGCTCTTGAACAGTTCATACTTGGCGAAGTTCTTCCGGAAGACAAAGCGGCTGTCTCCACCAATGGGCCAGACAGCCTGCACTTCTACCACGGACTCATGGTCCTCCAAGGCCCGCTCTGGGGTCAAGGGCAAAAAGCAGGGGTCAGCGGAGAGCAGACAGGCCTCCCGGATGAACCACCTGCCTAGCCCAAGGCGCGAAGCATTTCCTCCCTGCCCAGACAGCCCCCTGCACCCCAACTCACCCAGTGCTAGATGGGGGTGGCACTCCACCAGCCCCCAGCTTTCATCGCTCAGGGCATGAGCTCGCTGCACGAGCATCTCACACACGTAGCGGGCTGTAGCGCCCGCCGCCACCTCCACAGACCGGGAGGCCCCATCTTCGCTGTACACCTTCACTACCTGCATCCCAGGAAGCGCACATGACTTGAGGAAGGGCGAAGGGTGCTTATTTCCCTTCCCCTGCTTGCTCTACCCTCAGGGACTCCTGACCAAACCCCCCACCTCCACAGAAGTGGCACCATATCCACCCCAGTCCCATAGCACCCCCATATCCCTGCCTCCTCTCTCCCAAGACAACTCACATGGGGGCAGCTGGTGTCTCGAGGGAGCAGCCCCCTTGCACCGGAGGACCCCCCAAGAATGGGGGTCTGTGAAGGAGGACTGCAGAGCTCAGGGAAGGGGTTGGGGATGGAGGGTAGAGAGCTTGCCCGCAGCTCCTCCTCTCGAAGAAGATTCCTGTGGCCCAAGGTAGGGGGGCAGAGAATTTGCTGACTGCAAGCTTCTGTCTTACCCAGCACTGACCCCCCACCCCACCAGCCCCTCCTCAGCTCCATTACCCCATTGTACCTGCTGGTCGGAATGGGCAGAGGCTGGGACCTCTTCACCTCCCCAGGCAGAGGGGCATCGGGAGGTGGGGGAGTCCCAGGAGGGGTCCCAGGGGCCAAGTACAGGTCTTCTGGGGAGCTGCTGAGATGAGGCGGAGACAGACCCAGCTCCATAACATCTGAGGGAGAAGAGGGGGCTGAAAGCAGCCGCTCTCGTGCCCTTGTCCCGGGAAGAGGGGCCAAGAGGACCTAGACCTCCTGACTTCACACGGCTGCCAAGGTGCCCCTCAGAGTGGACACAGCACCTTATTCCTCCCCCTCTAACTGGAGTTTGCCTGGAGCCTTCGGGAAAGGGTAGCATGAGCCCATTTGCAAAAGGGGACAGCAAGTCCCTGAGAAGGAAACATCCTTGCCCCACCACAGGTGAGTCAGGGAGTGGAACTCAGTGTCTGGACTCCAAGTCCAGTGCTCTTCTGTTGCCCAGGGGAAGAGCTAAGAGGGTCCCCCCACCACAAGCCGGGCAGCGGCCCCAGACTCCGCGCCCCACACAGCCTGTTGGAGGTGGACTCTTGGTCTCCGAGCGCGCCCTGAGCATGGGGCACTCACTCCTCTGGGCTCTGCCCCAGGTTTTTCCAGGGCTTCGCTGCCAGACCCAGTTGCCAGAGCCTGTTGTGGCAACGCCTGCCCAAGTGCTGAGTGATGCACAGAAGGGGAGAAGGAGGTGGGAAAGGACAGGAACCAGGAGGGCAGGAGGCTGGCTCAGCTGCAGTGAGGACAGCACTAGCCTGGGGGCCCTTGCCCCAGCAGCCCCCAAACCTTGTGTGCCCTCTCCAAATTCCTCCTCCTGCCCAACTTCCTTGAAGCCCCACTGCCAGGGCTACCTCCTCCGAGCAGCCTGCCTGGATTTTCCACCTTCAGCCCAAGGACTCCCTCTCTGCACTGTGCTGGGGCCTCTGAGGCAATTCCGTGCACCTGTCTTATCCACCCACTGGTCTGGAGCCGCCCAGCACCCCCAGGAAGAGCCAGGGTCCTACCCACGTCCTATCGCCCACAGGTGCTGCACAGGCACCTAGGACAAGGACAAGTGAGCTGGGGCAAAGATGCCCACTGGGGACAGAGGCAGCACAGGCCCCTCCTCCACAGGAAGCAGGACCCCCTGGGCAGGCCTAGAACCTGGCACTGACCCTCCAGGATGGGGCAGGCCCCTGACCCTTAAGTGCGGGGATTTGGGGGACAGGTGAGTCAGGGTGGGGCGGGACAGCACTGCCTGGGGCTCTCTATTCAACCTTGACTCATCTGCACGACTTCCTGGCTTAGGAGAAACACAAACAGCCCTGCCTCTACCCACCTCCCTCCCCTCCCGCCCCCAACCTACCAGGCTGGGAGGACTGGGGGAGGCGCAGGGCAGGGATGGGCTGGGGGAGAAAGAGGATGCGGGGGGGGGGGGGGGGGGCGGCCTGCAGCTCCTCTGAGGTCATTTTCTCCTCCCCACCCTTGGCCCACCTCCAGTCCAGGTGGGACCTACAGTAGTCTCCTCCCAGCCCAGGGGGAGGGGAGCCCCCTCCCCCAAGGAGAGAAAAAAGGCCTGGCCTGGATTCAAAGGCCCATCTGGAGCAGAGCCGACCTCCCAGTGATGCCCTCACTCACCCAAAGAAACCACACAGTGCTCCCTATCCTGTCCGGGGCCTACCAGGCTTTCATTCTGCTGCTGCGGCCCACCCCTAGCACCCAGGCCTCAGCGGGCACAGAGGACTCGGCTAAGTCAACGCTGGGGGATGGGGTCCTCCCAACACACTCTCTGGGGTGTCCTGGCCAGAGGGGTACTACAGGCGCAGGAGTAGCAAGACACCCTAGAGGACAGACACAGACAGGCAGACAGACAAGGAAAGACCAGGCAGGAGCGGCAGGGAGGGGGCTCAGGGTCCTATGAGGGGGCCGGCAAGACACACCCACCAGTGAACATCAACAAGACACGGATGTCCCCGCTCCTATCCCATCTATCCTCTGGCCACTAGCCTTGGTGACTTCACTCCAGGGAGACTGGGGGGCCTGCAGGGAAGCCAGAGACCAAAAGTCGGGTCCTACTCCATCCCAGAGGGAAGAGGAATGGGGCAATGTTTGGGCAGGGAGCTGGCAGTAGATTTAAATCAGAATCAGATTAGAGTCCGGCCTCAGACGGCTGGAGGGCCACTGAAGACTTGGGTTTGGCCTTTTGATCCCTCCACCTTGCCCTCCAGACCCTTCTAAGGCAAGCGAAGAGCGGGGCGGTTAGATCCAAATAGATGGGCTGGGAGGAGAACGGGGTCCTAGCTGTGGGGCCCGGGGAACACCGTTCCAAGAGACCTGAACCTTTCAAACGGGGGCCCTAGCGAAAGCTTCTGTTGAAGAAACCGACCCCCAAAATCTATCAGTCCCCTCAACACTACAAGTGCAAGCCGACGCCTCCCCCACGGCCTCCTCTGCCCCGCGGCTCGGGCCCCACCCTCCCTCCCGCCCTCCCAGCCTCCTGCCTCCTTGTTTACTTCCTGAATCTTGCCCCACCTGGCTGGCCCCGAGGGCGGGTGGCAGGGCCCAGTATTAAGGGCCCGTAGAAAACAAGGCCACCTCCGTCGCTAAGCCGGGGAGGGGGAGGGGCCGACAGAGCCGAGGCCTCGGCGGGGGACCAGCGGGTGGCGGGAAGACCCCCGTCCGGCCCAGCACTCCACGCCCCGCCCCCCATCGGGATTTATTGTGGGGGTGGGGGTGGAAGGCTCAACCTTCGGGGAGGTTCTGAGGGTGCAGGGCCCAGGTGAGGAGGCGGGAAACCCCTAGGTGACCCGGAGTTGGGGGGAGGGCCCAGGACCCTGAGGCCCCGCCCACTCCCTCACTCTTGAAAAAACGCCCAATGGGAAAAGGGGGGGGAAAGCTTTCTTAAAGTTTAATTTGGGAAGAACGCTAGACTGTGTCTGTGGAGTTAATCATTACAGGCTGCTTGCCTTCTTGGAGGGCTCCCCCAGCAGGATCGGGGGGAGAGGGGAGAGCTGAGTTTAGGACAGGGCGAGCAAGAGGGGCCATTCTTGAGGGGCAGTAGGGTTGGGAGGCCTTCCAAGGGCGGACAGGTGCATTCTCCATCCCCGCCGTGTCAGGGAGATCCAGACTCGGGTCTTTCTCCAAACACTGCCCCCAAACACGCACACACACTTTTCCTAGTCCCCGCTGCGCCGCAGACCCCCAGCTTCCAGCCCTCCAGCCTTCGAGCCTTCATTGCGACGCCAGGAAGGACCGCCGGGCCTGCCCCGCCCCCACCTTCCCTTCCTAGGGCAGAACCCTGTGCTCTGAGCAGGCAAACAATCCGGAGACCGAGCTCTAACAATTTAGGGGATCCCTCTCCTCTGCTGCCCTCCAAATTGGAGAGTGCCCCCCGCCCCCGCGCGGAGACGTCAGTCTTTGGTAGAGCCTTGGGAAGACCTCAAACGGGTAACCTCGGGCAGAGCCAGGAATGACTCGAGGCAGCCCTCGGTGTTCGGCCCCCCTCCTAGGTCTCTTTCTGGGAAGATGGGGAGGGGCTGGTTTCAGCGGGAAAGCCGCGTCTCAGGGAGGAGAGGATCGGAGATCTTCCTTCCCCATCCCCATCAGCTGCTTTGTCCGGGGGCCGGGGGGAGGCGGGCTACAGGGAGGAAAGGAAGGAATAAGGAGACAGGAAATGAGAATAGGGAAAGATTGAGGGCAGATGGCGAGGAAGGGGCGGGATATGGGAGATTGGAGAAAAAGAGAAAGCGAGGCGGCCAGAGCAACACAGCAGGAGGCTGAATCTTTCCATACTGACCCGGGACCTGCCGCTGCTCCCCACCCTCAAGATGAAGTGCCCGTTGGGTCCTTACCTGGACCCTGGGCGTAGGAACACCTGGCTGGGGCCACCGGTTTAGGGAGGGAGACGCCAGGTCCTTAACTACCTGTCCCCCTCCTGCCCCCGCCCTTGGCCCGACATCACTGAGGGGGGAAAGAGGAGGGGGGAAGCCAGGCGCCACCTGGGCAACCTGCCAGCTCCTGGCCCTGACACGGGCACAGCCTGGGGCCCTGGTGTGGCTGGCTGGGGGTTGTCGCTGGGACCGATTTTGGTCACCTTACCTGGAGGAGCCCCAGCAGAAGCAGGACACCGGGTCCGAAGTCCAGTTCTGTCTTGGGACCCCAGATACCTGGACTTGATTTCAAACCCACTCCTTCTTCTCTACAGGTGGTAGGAGGGGACCCCGACTTTGGACGTAGACGTGAGGGTTGTGGGGAGGGAGAGCCCTGTGTGTCCAGGCTCCTGGCCCAAGGAAACTAAAATTATCTCGGGCAGGTGGGGGCGGGGCCTGGGGTAGAAGCATGGGAGGAGGAACCATAGGAGGAGGGGCGGGGACTCCCTGATACTACGCCGGCTGGGATTGTTTTTGCCTTTCTTAGCCCGGCAGCAGGTGCCAGGGGAGAGGCGGGGAAGACAGGCGAGCCCTCAAGAGCAAAGATCTAGAGTCCTCGTGCGGGTGGTGGGGGGGGGTGGGGACGACGGACTGGGGCTGGAAGGTAGGGGGAAAGGGCGCTCACCCTTCCCCATGCTCCTCACCAAATCGGGTCTGCTCATTGGCCGAGCTGGGGGCCTGTGTGGGCCTCTGGGTCCCCCCTGATGGGGCAAAGAGCACTCAGAGAAAGAGGGAAACCGGCCAGAAGGGTGTCCAGCAACAGGGGCTGCCCCTTGACCTCCAGCCACAGTCTGGCCACCCAGCCTGCACCCTGGCCCTCAGAGCACCCAGGGGGGGATGTTCTCCCTTCTTTGCAAAGTCCAAGGTCTCAGCTTCTTCTGAAATACAAGGGGTTAGGCAGGGTCTCATGGTGGGAGGAGTGATCTAGGGGAAGCTCTGGCCAGGTGCCAGGGGACTCCCCTTCGAGAGATCACTTTAGCTCTCTCCTCCAGCATTTGGCAAACACAGGGGTCAGGGAGAGGGCCTGGAAGGCCACAGATCAAAGGCAGTGGCCACCTCCCAACCTCAAGTGGGTGACAGTTGGGTAAACAAACAGTCCTTAGGGTGATAAGAGGTCTGCCCTGGGGGACCATCAAGGAGTGGCTCGGGCCTCAACTTTCTCCAAACGGGGTTTTCCTCGAAAAACCAGTAGGAGTGGACTAAGCAAAGAAGTGGGGGAGGGGGCAAGGTCACCTGGGCCATGGCGCAGCATCTTGTGCAAAGCACTCGATGATTCCTTCATTCAATAGTATCTGTTAAGTACCTACTACATGCAAACCCCATGCTTGGTACTGAAGGAAAAGTGGGGGGCAGCAGAAACAGACCCTGCCCTTCTCGTCATGCAGCCCAGTTGGGGAGACTGATGTTCACCAAAGAATCCCACAAGGGGAACCTGGTGATTCAGTCAGTTAAGTGACCGACTCTTGATTTCGGCTCAGGTCATGATCTCAGAGTTGTGAGATCAAGCCCCGTGTTGGGCTCCACGCTGGGTGTGGAGTCTGTTTAAGAGTCTCTCGTTCTCTCTTTCTGCGCCTCCCCCTCTCTAAAAAAAAAAAAAATCACCCAAAAATAAGAAATGACAGGTGACCAGTATGCTGGGAGAATGAATCACCCAGAGAGTTGGGGAAGCCTTCTCTGTGGAAGTGACGAGCGAGCAGAGGGGAACTGGAGCAGGGGGAAGGATGAGATTGGTGGGTGGGAATCGGGGGGGTACTGTTCACGATGAGGAAAGATGCCAAAGCCCTTAGCAGCAGGGGACGCGGCATGCGGAGGCAGAGTGGGGTTGAGGAGAAGGAAGGAGAGGAGGCCCCACGGGTAAGCTCGAGCAGGTGTGGAGAAAGGCAAGTGCTTTGGATTCAGCTGTGTTTCTCAAAGTGTGGCCTGTGACCACCTTCCTCCGCGGCTCCTTAGGCTTGTATAAAAACAGATCCCTGGGCCCCTCCCCACCTACTGAATCTCAGTCTCCAGGGCCAAGACCCAGGAATGTGTGGTATTGACAAGCCCTCAGGTGGTTAAACCAGGTTTAAGAGCCATCCATCCTGTCTGTCCAGACGGGCAGGAACTATGGGCCGAGGCCAGACCCTGCAGTGTCTCTCCGGGCTTAAGGAGAGGCGCAGAGAGGCAGGCAGATTTATATTTTGAAAAGATCACGCTGGATGTTGAAGGATGGGGTTAGAAAGGGAAGCCAGACTCAGAAGGCTGAGTGC